AAAAAAATCCCACCACATTAGTAAAAATAATATATGAGGGGTAGTGGCTCTGGGGGTGGGGTAGGGAGAAGAGACCTTAAAAGGCCCCCATCTCCCATGGATGCGAACTAAATAGTTTCAGGATGGTGCCACAACTTGCCTTTGCTCTGTCGGAGGGGAGAGACGCCGAGCTCTACTGCTGGGATCCAGTCTCCTTTTGCTCTTGTGACTCAACTCTTGATTTTGGGGTCTTTTAGTTTATTTCTTTATCTAAAGAATAACTAGAACAGTGGGCAGACCCGCACCAGCTCCCCAGCACCAGGAACAATCACAGACCTGGAGAAGTCTTTTTTTTTTGTTGTTGCTCTATTTGGGATCCAAGTCTTCAGAGGGACTGGAGAAGGGGAGGCTGTGTCATCAAGGGCGTGAAACGCTGACACTGCCCAGAGGAGAACCATAAACCCAAGAGGCGAAGGTCCCCGGACAAGGGCTGGGGGGGGGGCAAAGGGGAGAGGAGGGCTCACATCCATCCACTTTCAAGGGGAGTTAAAACATGGATTTGCTCTTGTGCTTTTTCCCTGACTGGATTTCTAGTGCTGCTTTCCTCTTCTTCCATCTCCTTCTCTACCCGCCAAGCTCCTGCTTCGAACTCTTAAATGCAAAAAGTAATTAAAAGGAAAACCAGCAAGAACGGCAAAGCAACGCCTCTGAGGAGCTTCTTCAGCTGCTTCGAGTTGAGATGGGATTAGGATATTTCTTCACGGCCAGCTGGGCCTACAGGGGAGCAGAGTGGCCCTTGGGATGTCCCGGGGTCAGGAAACCCTCGGGAGAAACCAGCCCCAGCACCTTCCTGCAGAGACTGGAGCTACTGGTGGAGGGGCTGTGCCCCCTCCCAGCATCATGAGGATCCCAAGGACTTCTGAAAAGCCGAAAATCCCCCCGGCTGGAATCAGAGTTCAACTCCAGACGATTCGAAAATCCTGCGGTTTGAGGCCAGGTGGTGAATCAGCTCTCGTTGCAAGGTTTGAGTGTTTAAATTCATGCTAAACCCGGAGGGATCTCTTTGCTGGGAAACGCAGCCGGGAGAGAAGGGGATGGAGAGTTGAGTTAAGGAATGAAATGAAACCGTGTCCTGGGAGTCGGGTCGTAAAAAGTTGTTACCTGGTAATTTTCAGGCTCTGGAGATGTAAAGTGACTTTTACAAGGAAGGTTTCTTTATGGAGGGGGGGCACCAGGGCTGTCGCCGGGGGTGCCCCGTGCTCCCCCGGACCGGGATGCTCGGCCCGGGGCCGGTCGCCTCCAGCACCGATGGTGGAGCACGAACCTGGGGAGGAAGCGTTTTTGGGGTTGTTTCTCGTGTGATTTACATCATGCGGCAAAATCCACTGTGTCCCCCCCGCCCTCGGCACCCGCCGCCCCGAGGCCCCGCACGATCATAGCCGCGGGGCTTCAGCATGAAAACCCGAAAGCGAAGTAAATTCAGCAAAGCCCCGTCGGGGTGGGGAGGGGACGGAGCCCCCGGGCTGAAATCAAGTCGAGGAGTGATTTTCAGGATTTGGCCCGGAGTAAAAGGGAGCAAAACCCTCATCCCACCCGCCTTAACGGCGGGTATTTACTCCGGGCCCTTCGGCGGCTCCCCCCGGGCGGTGATAACGCCCTGAGACACCCCCCCCCAAGCAATCCCTTCGGGGATATATTTGTCATCCTCAAGTGCTTTCACGAAAAAAAGCCAACCCTCTCGAGAGGGCCGAGGGTCCTTTCCGAGGGCCGATCACATCCCCTGCCCTCTTCCCGGATTTCCAGTGGGATTCGGCTGCCTTTTTCCATGTGTTTTTCCGGCAATCCACAGAGGTTTGCTAAAAAAGAAAAAAAAAAAAGAAAGAAAAAAAAATTCAAATCTTCGCTTCTTTTAACCGAAACATCCCGAAATTTTAGTCCTGGAGTTACTTTTAAAAATCCTGCTCCCGTTTATCCTTCCCGCTCTCCCTTCCCGGTCCCCGACGGCTCCCGGTGATGGGAGACGGTCACGACAAGGGACCAAGTGCAGGGAGACGGGACGGGGCTGCAGCGGGCCCGGCGGGCGGGGGGGGACGGTCACGGCCGGTCCCCCTCGGGCACCCGCTGGTTTTGCCCCCCGACTGGCTGGAAGCCCCCACGGGTGACCCTTTGGACGCAGGATCAATGTGCAAAGCGGGTCTGGACTTTGGTCTCTGGAGGAAGAGGAGGGGGTGAGGCTGAAGGGAAAAGTCGTCGTGTCCCCCCCCGCCGGGGGAGAGCAGGGCAGGATCAGACCCTGGAGGAGAAAGGGTGCGTTTGGTGTGGTTTGGTTTGTGTTTTTTTTTTTTAATTAAGAACTTTGTGCAAAGACCCGTTGCGGGGGCAAGTGGGGAACCGGTTGGAATAGAAGATGGGAGGCAGAAAAGAGCGGAAATGGGGGAAAACACCCCAATTTCACAGCTCCCGGCTGCGGCTCGGAGAAGCGCGGGGTGCGGGTCCTACGCGCGGGCCCAGGTCAGTCCCTGGGGGGGCGTCGGGGCTGGAAGGGGGCAAATACCCGCCGGGGCTCGAAGGTCTCGGAGATGTGTCCCCTTCTCCTCCTCCCTCGGTTGTTTTATAGCGGAGCTTTGGTTGGGTTTGGTGCCTTTTCTGTATGAAGTTTAGGGTTATTCTCATGTTTTCCAAAATCTGTAAAATCCCACTTCTTATTTGTTCCTTTCCCCCCACCTCCGTATCGCCCATTGTTAGCTATTTAAATGGGCCTATTTTCCTACTTTTTGAGAAATGCGCCGCCGATATAGAACCAGACGCAACTGCAAAGTACTTTCTACCGGCGAGAGCTTTAATAGGTTTCCAACAACAGCCCGTCCCCGCGGGCTCGTTTCCAGAAGGGAAGGTCTATCACAAGCCAAGAAATTGGATAAATAGATTCTACCGAAGAACCGAATTTCCCCTTTTCTCCAGTTTCTCACTCCGAGTCCTTTCGGAAACGGCGCATCCAGCCCCGGGAAACCCGCCGATGCCGTCGAGGTTTCATTTCTTTCCTTCTCTGCAGTGACAGCCCTGCAGAGGATTATCCCACAAACCATCGTTTTTCTTATAGACGGAGTCAGAATTAATTCGCCCCGATCGTTAAATTGTCCAATGCGGCCGGGCATTTAATCCCGCGTATAAATCCTTTCTGGAGAGAGAGCGAGCGGGCTGGGCGCCGTCCTCCGCGGAAATCCGGCTTCCCTCGGTGCTGGCCATGCCCCCAGGCAACCCCCAAATTGGGGACACCCCCCCCTCTCCAGCCCCGGCTCTGCCAGCCCAGGAGGAGGGTCCCCGTCCAGCCCCCGGCCGAGAACTTGAATTCCTGCGGGAAGGGGTAGGAAAAAGAAGTTGATTGAGTCGGAGGATGGGGGACATACCCCGGGGGGGCTGTTCTCCTGCTGCCCCCGCCTCATCCCCCGACTCTGCCCGACCAGACCCACGCTTCTGCGGCGCCGCAGCCCGCGGGGCGCGGGTTTTCCGCGGGAGGGAGAGGCTGGAGAGGTCTGGCCCCGGGAAGGGCGAGAAGGAGCCGAGGGGGAAGGGGGGATCCCTCGGAATTTGGGGTGCTCCGTGTCACCTCCCGGCTCTTCCCTCCGTGGGTCTCGGTGCTACAGCAAGAAACCCCACCCGGGAGGTCTTCCCTTCCCTAAAAATGACCCTACCTTTTTGCATTTAATATTTAACATAGAATATTTATTAAAAAATATTAAATATATGATTTCAAATATATAATATTTTCAATCCCCCCCGCACGTAGCTGTGTGCCGTCTACAGACAAGGTGCGCTGCAGGGAGGCAAAGGCTCCCTCAGTGTGGGGAGCGGGGCATTGGGTCTCCGTAGGACGCTTTCTCCTCTATTTTTTATTTTTGGGGTTGGGCTTCCAGGCCTTGGCACAGCCGCGGGCTCCTTCTTCACCTCCGCAAAGGGCTTTCCCAAAATAACACCACCACCCCCACCTCCAAAAATGGGGAGGCTGGAAATAGAGGTGTGAGCAAACTGCCCGGGAACCGAGCGGGCGGGGAGGGGCAAGGGGAAACGCTGGTGCTGCAGGTTTTATATTAAAAAATACATCCCCCCCCCCTCTGCAGAGCAGTGAAGTTTCCCATTAAAACTGACACCAGGGGATGGTCTCAGCATCCTCGGCCGCCCCGGATTGGTGAGCTCGCCTGCAGACGCCTTTTCTAACAGATAAGTCAATCGGCAGAGACCTCCCCCCCCCCCCCCCCCTCC